CTCCATTTCTTTCTGGAATGCATCAAAGTTCTCCCTAGTAGGAGCTGGAGCTGCTCCTCAGTGGTTCTTCTCGAGGCACCACCTCGGCTGTGGTTGGCCTTAGATGGTTTTGGATGTGCTGGCGGCAGAACAGGCGTGGTGATGCGTGCCGACCTACGGAGCGGCTCAGTCCCCAGGCCTTCCTGAATCTGGCCCTCTGCCACTTCTTCCCCGACCTCTCTCTAGTGGTCATCATTAGCAGCCAGAGCTCTTCGGTCTGCTGTGTTGGTTGAGTTTGCTGATTGAACCATCATTGCTTATGTTTCTTGGATCGGGATCACTTAAATTGTCCTTCCCCACAGACGGCGCCAAATGTTTGTGCAAAGAATCGCACAACGGTGCTCACGAACCTAGCTCGAACCCAGTCTTTTACTCAACTTGAACCGTGGAATGAACCTGCACAAGAGGGCAAACTCTCTAACGATCAAGTCAGTATAGGTCGGACTCAATATTAAGTTCAAGGTTAGATTCAATACCTGAGTCGTGAAATGAGGCTCTCTATTTATAGATGGTGAGTCCGACAGTACTCACGACCGGCGGTTACCTTTGTCTTTTTTATGTCGAACCTGTCGGGTTTGAGCAGATCGAACCCGTCCAGGTCGAACCAAGGCTTTTTACACTTAGCCTTATTTACGGGCAAATCCGGTCTCCTCGGCAGGTTCGAGGTGGACCTGGAATACTTCTTTTATTTTTAAACATCAATAAGCATCCTCCACGTGTCCACAGTATTTTTATCCCCAAACATTGTACTTGAGTTTCAAAGAGATAATTGACATGATTCTGTCATCCCGATTAGTTCAAGAATTGCATATCATCGTGTATCTATAGTTTGATTTGTAAAAAAAATTGGTTTGTAAAAGTTTAAGTTTTTCTTAGTAGTGCATTTAAGTCACGTTTACTTAACCGCAATCGTAATAGAAAGCAATCGTAATGAAAATCAATCGTAATGAAATCAATCAGAATCGTAATGTTATTTGTTTACTAGAAATTTTCTAGAATCGTAAACAGAATTCCTTTGATGTTGTTTACTAAAACTGTCTGGAATCAAAATTGGAATCAAATATATGACAATTACTAATAAACCTCTTTCTCCTTTTTAGCCAATTACAAATATATTATTGTGCTAATCTTTTTTAAATTACAATAATAATACATTTTAATTTAATTTATTACTATATTATTGATAGTAAATATTTCTTATTATAACAATTTATCTAATATTAATACATCATGAATAATTAAAATAAAATTACATCAAATAAAATATTTTTTATTAGAACAACCAAACTTTAATAAAACATATTATTAAGTTTTATTATTCTAATATTTAATAGTAATAATTTCTATTTAAAGAATTTATTGATATTAATTAATATTAATATTGTATAATAAAATCACATCAACTATAAATGGAGAAGAAATTATAAAAGTATAAAAAAACTAATTAAAAATTATATAGATCAAATCCATAGATGAGAGACGAGATAAAAGTGGTACATTAATTTTCTAAAGCTATATGAAGAGTTTTTTCTTACTCTTTCTCCTAACTTTTTCTTCATCAAAACTTGAGTTTTTTTTTCTCTTTCGATATGTTAATTTTCTCTTTAGTCAGTGTATTGTGTTTTCTTATATTTAGTTAGATTGTTGGATCGAATATTCAACTTTTTTAGTTCTTTTTTTCAATGCAAGTCTTGAAAACGACTCTATCAACTAGAAAAAGGAAAGGGAAAATGAGGGATAAGATCGAATCACCTTGGACGGATCCACTTTGGGATGGCACTTGATAACCGTGAGAACTCTCTCAATGACCTCCTCCTTGGTAATGTGATCATCATGTGATGAAAATAGCCAGAGAAATCCATCGGAACATGGCTGCGGTTGGCATTCCCGGCGAGTTAGGGCAAGGAATCGGACCAGAACTCGAACATGGCGAAGAACGGATGCCTTGAACACCATCTCTCTCTCTCACTTTTCTTCATGGGGTGACTCCTCAATTTCTTGAACTCAGGAACTTATTAATGATCCAGTCGAATCTGAAGGGAATGTGAATTTG